CGTTTACCTGTTCCAGTCAATGAGAAATCACTAGGACTGCGTTAATGTTCAAGGAAGAGATTATTCGCAACATCGGCAATTATCGCCCGCTGCTTGCTGCCTATCGTTTATGAATACTTCACTCGAGTTGTCCTAAACAGCAATATACTCGAAATCTTTGGTGTTTTACTGCCTTTTCGCAGTGTTATAATGTTTCATAAATACCTAAGAGAATTGAGTGGTGAGCAAAATACGACATCAGACTGGAGTCGAACCCGCGTTCCATCCATACCACGGAAGTTTCATCATACTTTTGCTCAACACTCAATTTTTCTGAGTATTTACTAAACAAAAATGGCAAACGACTGGACGAAAGGCAGCCATGCGAGCAAGCAAGGTATCGACAATTTTAATACTGAAGACCACATCTACACGATCACAGGACTTTTTAAAGTTTCGTGAGAGTACAAGTGACCTCCTTTGTTTCATCTCATCAATTCGAGGAAGGCCTTTGATTCAGGTGAAACAGAAGCAATCATACGAGCTCTAGACACGCAAGGCATTTCTACTCAGTACATAACGATTCCCCGTGAGGTAAATAAATTTTCACGACCGAAATTTCATCATTCCATAACTACGTTACTATAAACATGAGAAAGGAGTATTCCATCTTGCCGAAATTATTTATTGCCACCCTTCAAAACGTCATGCGAATAGTAGAATAAGGCAACATAGAGGCGAAAATCGACGATCAGTGCTGCACAATTTTCGATTCGCTGATGACATCGTTCTTATGACACCAAGCATCAGCCAGGCGGAACGAATGTTAACCGATTTCGATAACGCGTGTGGAAAGACTCTTTTATTACTAAATCTTGCCTAAGCAATATTATGAAGAAGAATTTTGTTTTGTATGCCCCTCCTCGATCAGCAGTATGAATATTACAAAACGCTTCAGCTATACCTGACCATTTTTTAATTTATTTTATTTAATCCGTCATCACAATGTTTTTTTTTCCACTGTGCGGATCCCACTTAATCTAGCATTCAATTCGTTCTTCGTCTCTTCTTGATTGGCGTAGAATACTGGTTGAGCGAGCCCCCTTGCAATCTCGAGGATATCCCAGCTGTAGCGTTCCATAGGGGGCTGTTGATGACTGGCGGAGAGAGTTGGGAGGGAGGGGTGTACCTCGGCTCCACGCGCGCCGTGACGAGCATCACAACCACTCGGCCACGACGCCCTCAACTATATCTATGTAGGTCAAAAAGTCAGCATGACGAACCGCTCACCTTCATAGCTAGGAGAGAAAGCGAACGACTTGTGGTGTTCACAAGAGCAACGACGGTGCAACGAAGTGGACTAAGAAAGCGAAACTTCATGACTATCTTTTGTCTCGAAGATTCTTTATGCTTCAATGTACGCGTCGAAAATTTGGTCGCCACGCGTGCAGAATGGAAAATCATCTGGTCTTACCTAATGCGGAGTTGAAAGGTCGATGTCTTGTATCTCATAAGTAAGACGAAAAATCCAGAATTCTGACTTATGTTAAAACTGAAATGTTGAAGACGCCATTCCAGACGCCAGGCTGTCAAAGATAAGGTGAGCTAGACACGTAATTCTTGTTAACGATAAACGATGGAGAATGTGCGCTCGTAAGAGGATTCAATGAGATGTCACACTATTAGGGGAAGATCATTGCTCAGGCGGTCAGAATTCTTCACGAAACTCACGGAAGTCGTAAGAGGAGAACATGCTCAAGAAGTCCCGCACTCAGTGACTTCTCTTCGTGAACGAGAAGAAGAGATAGAAGGTTTACTGGAATACTACTCGAGTCACGCGACTATCATCGGGACCATAGATGGCACAGGTGATCAATTACGTCACAAAAGATCCTTCTACAGCTCTGTTGTACGTTAATTTAAGTGATAAACAGCAATGTTGTATGAGTTTGATTATCGACTAGTTATTGAAGTCCAATACGAATTGAGATGGTCATGCTGGTCTCTGTGATGTTCTCTTTTCCACAAAGAAGAAAGTAATTTCCACCACAAATTATATTTCCTTAATACTGTTAATAATATATGAATTAATCACGCGGAGATTGAACGCATTCTTCTCAACAGTAGGTGGAGCGATGGGACGTATTTGACGTTTTCATAATTCTAACATGCCTGATAGTTACTTTTTCAAGCTATGAATTCTTGTAATTTTCGCACAGAATTCCAATATCGCCTTCTATTTGCAAGCATTCACTTCAATTCTAGGTCATTAATTTTTGGGTTTTTCGGGTTTTTTGGACACTTGGTCGTCGTGCGAGAGATGAAACGAAGAATACTGTATGCAATGAATTTTTTCTCACTGACGACTTGTTCACTTCGAAGTGGCAGAAAATCAACGCATGTTTTGACGCGCATTTGTTCGTGCGTTAATATTGTACGCTATTTTTAAATTTATTTCTAAGTTCACTATTTATTGTGCAATATTTTCTCGAAGACTGATGCAGTTGAATCAGTCTTGCAGTATGACGATTACATGATTTCGCTCTGCCAGCTCTAATTTTCACACTAAGCAGGGTAACGTCTCGAAATATTTGAAGGATAGGCCACGAAAGTGCTTTTGCATAATGTCACATGGGAAATATGAGCCTAGAAAGTCGCAGCTGTCTCTCAGTTGTCAAGGGCAACAATCTGGAGTTAGTGAATGTGGTTAAATTTCTAAAGAATTTTGAGCCGTTAATCAGACTGACTCCTATAGTGCAGTGATCTGAGGAGGCCCCAATGTACAGTAGGTCTTTGGTACAACCAATATCTCGAGCATTCTATTTCTCTATTATAGACAAAATTATATCAGAGTTATCTGGGAAGATAGCAGCACCGACTCGATTTGATAGGTAGGCCTACTTATGTTACCGTATGTCAGCAATTCACTTAATCACATTTTACGATGTTTGGTGAAGTGGTATATATGGCGCATTCTTCAGTGACTGTTCAACGCCGAAAGCTTTCGAGCTTTTAACATAAATTTTTTCCGTAAGAAAGACTCAGTATAATAAATTGCCTTCTAGACTATTGTCCAGCCTGCTCACATGTTTTACCATACACTTTTCTTCCACGTTGATTTCCTTTCTGAACTTCATCAGCTTTTATCATGCACAAGTGACATTAGCAAACAGTTCATCAAAATGTTCAAAGAATAAGAGAAGCTAGGAAAACTCTTTTTGTTGGTTTCTTATACCGCAGAAAATGGCCATAATTGCCATTTGATTTCTACGCATTCAATTACACAGGTGCTGATAGTCTTGAGTCAACAGTAGAATCTCTGGGCAACATCAAATCCGAACTGGTTGGGATCACTAAAGTTTGATCAAGTCTCACACTTGGATTCGGTGTCCAACTCGCCCTAGACACTCTGGATGAGTAACCTGACCTGGAACGAGAAAAGACTTTGAGACTTCAGACTTGCACAATTGTAGTTTTGGTCTAATACCTACACGAAAAATATAAATTTCACATATTGATTGCCGACATGCACTAAGCAATAGCTGCATTTCTCACATCTCATACGTTTCATAGATAAAGTATATCGAATGGTGATTATTCTTTAAAATTGATAAATGGTGTCGAAAGTGAAATTACAAGCATTAGATTGGGAATTTCGAAAGTTTCGCATACATCTCCAAAGGTTATGAATGAATGAAACAAAACAAAACTTAGGGGCATTTCAGCTTCCAACCTCGCAGACTAGAAAAAACGAAAATCATTAGTGCTTTTATCAGTTAGGTTTTACACGAATTCAAAAAAAAAGGAATTTTCGCGAAATTTTTCAGTTCAGTACTGAAAACTTTTCCTACCTGCAATCCGAGGCATTTGTTTTCGATCGTAAAGTGTTCTCTTCATCACTAATCCAGTGTGTAAATTCGGTATACATTTTCTTCGTATCTCTATAGGCTGCTATTGAAACCATCAACCACAATAGGTACGAAAAGGCAAAAGCTGCTCCAATGTGAACATTTCTAGAAATAGTATGTGAGTTTTTTGGTGACTTTAAACAAAAATTCGATTCCTGGTAGATTCCATGCTTATAACCACATAAAGCAGACAAAAGACAGACTACTCTGGATTACGGTCAACTGCTGTAGAGAATAACATGTTGTCCAACAGTTTCTTATAGCATAACAAGGATTCATAATTAAATTTAACTGGGTTTGAAAGAATTGTAATTCCATTGTCACATTGCCCCCCGGTATCGAAACTCATTGGAAAAACAATCATTCCTCATCGCAAATTCTTCAATCACCATTCCATAAGTAGGTGGTTTGAGGGTTCCTGAAGCTGGGCCATAGGGTAAGGCCATCACGAACCCGCTGCACAGCTCGTGGAGAAAACCGAAGAGCGAAGTTACATTACCAACGATTTCCGTTGGGTAGTAATTTTTGCAGGGTAAACTCTACGGAAATACAAATGAATAACTACTGTGAGCTATTCTCGTTCATCGAGCAGCTAGGTCACATTGGTTAAGTGAGGCACGGCAAAAGGAAAATCGCAAGCCTTAGTAGTGCTCGCTCAAATTCCTGACAGATCACTGTGAGATGAATTACAATGATTATATAAGTGAATCACTTTCATAGGACTTCATAGACCACTCTTTAGTATCTTCTGAAAATATTTACGGTTGACCCAGAGTTTTTTACACACCGCTTTTTCCGATTCGTATACTTGCTTTAACACCAAATGTGAAAAGGAAGCAGAAATAGGAAAAATTGCAAGAATCTGAAAATAATTCTACCTATAAGAACTATTAATTGTCTTGTTGCCAAAAAGCCAAAGAGTTTGTTATTGATAGATTCTGATTCTACCGGAAGTTTTACAAACCGGAGACAAAGATTAAGTTCTCTTAGGTAGTTAGGAAATTATCAAAACTAAACTTTTTTATAATTGAGAATGCATTTTCTTCGACCGCGTATTGCGGTGGTATGATATTACAATAAGTCAAATAATGTAGAGTGTTGTGCAAAAACATTTGCGTCAGGTGGGATTCGATCCCAGACTCACTCTTTCCGGGAGTGCCTACTAAACCATTGCACTACAGACGCTCTTATTTCTAAGCTGTTATTTGGAAGTGTTGATTTGGCAAACTATTAAAACTTTGTTCAAAATTGCTTGACCTACCTTAAACACTCCTCCTTCATTTTGCTTTCCTCTTGAGAGTCATTCTTATCCAACTTCAAGTACAAAAACAATGAATTGAAAACGAATGTCAGAAGAAATACCTGCAAACAAACTGTGGTTATTAACTTTATAAGCAGAAGAATTGGCAGCAAAATTAAATACTGAAAAAGCGATTGAGAAAGTTAAACTTACAAAACTAAAGATCACATCGAAGAGGAACGGTCGAACAAATGCAGGTTTGGAGGAATAGTAACCATACATAGATAAAGCAGTCAGAATGAAATGAAGCACAGCGTATACCGAAACTACAATGCAAAGACGAAGTTACGATTAAACGGTTCGAAAAGGTTGTGACTGCGAATTGAATAATACCACGTTCACTGCAAGTT